ATGATGATGATGAGTGGATGCACGAACGCCACTGTTAGCGACACCAAACCATATCACTCAGTGTCACTAATCATCGGTAGAGATCATCTCGGGTTCCCCAGCCAGGGAGCCTAACGGGGCCTGTGCGACCTAGTCTCCTGGTTGGGATTCTCATACCCTCATGCCAGGTCTTAGTTTGACCACCCTTGATCTTTTTCCATCCGCTACCCGCCTTGGCAAACATCGCTCGCCGCGGCAACCTATCTGGTGATATGCGTAAAACGCCCCAACCTACTTAATCTATGCAGGTCGATCACTTGCTCCAGTGGAGGACCGCGAATGCCTAAAACTCTACGCCTAAACTCAGCATTGCTAGTCCGGTAATCCCACCGGACTCGTGCAATGCGACGTAGACAGCAGTGTTCGAACACCGATAATCTACTTTTATCCTGTTCCCTGTTCCCGTAGAGGCCAAGTCTCTGCACCGTAGAGCAGGACTGGCCGAACTGCTGCAGCATATACTCGACCCTTCACAGACAGCCGGATGTCGCGACGGCGCTACAAATGTCGCAAGTTGCAAATACCAACCGAGCCTTTTGTATACGCGCCGACACTTCATCTGTGATGCGTCCGCCAGGTGAGAGATAGCTGCCCAGATAGCAAAATTTGTCTACTTCCCCAGTCAGGGAATGTTAATGTTAATGTCAGGGATGTTAAAAAAAATTATTTGCACTATTACAAATACTTTCATGAACAAGTGAGCGGTGTTTATATCGTTTTTTTTTCATATCAGACAAAAGTAAATGAAACTCACGATCACATTCCGGAGAATCCCCAAAACAATATTTTCGTAGAAAGTCTTTCCCTGACTTTGAAGCACTGAAACACGCGTCCTCCAACGACGTTCACGAGCGACAATTGCTCGAACTGATGCTTCATCCGCCACCAGAGCAGCTCGAGGTACAGATGAGTCGGTGTACGGTTGAGTAGGTACGGCGTCATCAATGCGAATAATACTTTGCTGCTCCCCACCCAAAGTGGTAGCATGTAAACCGGGACGGGTACCCCTCGGCAAAGAGCTGACGGGCATGGCGGTGGTGGTGGCTGTGATGTCACTTTGAGGAGCTAATGCAGCAGTTGTGGCCGAAGCTGAAGATGTTTCTAACACACGATCGATGTCATCCGGTTTGATTCGTTGTTGCTGTGTGGCACGGTACTTGGCGCGCAAAGCCTTAATGTTTGAAAGATATATCACAGGTTCAGTCAAGACAAATACGTAGCAATCGGGAGTCAAAATGTCTCTTTAAATGTCAGTGGCAAATAACCTCGGAAAATAAAGGTCAGTTTCATGAGCCCTAGGCACATGAAAGTCGCCGGTCGGCGATTCAGAGCGAAAACAATCCGATAAATGTAGATGAATGTTAGAATATGACTAATAACTGCGAAAATCACCTGAAAATTAGCAAACGACTAGCTACGTGAATCTTGATCGGAATTTGTAAGAGACGCAATGCTTTCGAGAACGCTCTCATAACAGCGTTAAGTTGAACTCGTCCGTAATTTTAAACGGAACGTCTGATCAACCAGAAAGTTCGTGGAGCCAATGGAACCTCTCATGTAGCAAAAGAGTACCAAAGAACAGACGGCAACCAATTACCAACCTCAATTTTGTCCGATGGAATTGCCTCCGTCAGCGAGCTGGACTTAGCCTGATCACCAGCGATTACCGCGGAATTTCGACCAGCGAGACTTGTATCTAAGTTGCCCGTAAGACGTCGCTGTTTGCGCGCGATAGCGTCCTCATCAATTGGCAGAGTCTTGTTTGCAGTCTGAGAAGCCATGCCATCGATATTTTCATCATTCGTGACAATGAGACGAGCACGTTTTGCCTCAGTATCATGTCCAAATGCATCGTTACCGGACAAGTCGTTGCCATCTAAACGAAAACATTAACGACGACGATCTCACAGTGAATCGAGTAAACTGGTCTCACTAGTTAGCGCATTATCAATAAGCAACTTTTAGCTCAGTTCACATGCATCACCCTGGAAACTCCATGTGCTGCTTTTGGTTGCTCATTTAGCTACTCATTTATTCGACCAATTAGGAAGGGACAAGTTGAAGAGTGGAAACCTTAGAGTGCCATTAAGGTAGAGACAAGAGGTAAACCACATGTGCAGAACCTGCATAAATGCCACTGTTCACGACACACTCGAGATTGCCGAAAGCCGACTTACTTGAGCACGAGATAGTCGTGCATCATGCAGTAGAGTCCACTGAAAGGCCGTAGCTAAGTCCTTTATGGAAGACCAGAGTGCACAGTATAGCCAAAGCTGTCTCTAACGGGTGAACTTAGAGAGCTATCATGTGGTTCGCCACTCCAAATTCCGGGCTTAGGATGCTGATTTCCATCACCGAACAACGGGTCTTCGCGACTAAGGGGTTTACCCCGTCTGCACACAAGGGTGTGCAATTAAAAAACAAATCAATCGAAACTTTTGTATGCGTGCCAAACGTTGAACTGTGAATTTAGCGGTGAATTTAGCGGTGAATGTATAGCTACTCACGTGACATGTATCAAACTTTTCCAATACTTTTG